CTGGGCAGAGCCAGCACAATGGCAGGAGAGGCACCCGCCTTGGGTGTTATGGTGGTGGGGGACAGCTGGGGCAGAAGCCTCTCCTGCCTCTACTTCTGTCTTCCTGTCCGTGACTTTTTATAATGTATTTCTGTTGATCTCCAAAAAACATAGCTGCTATCAGGAACTGCATTGCTTGTATGGATATGCAAGCTCTGTCCATCCAAGCTCGGGTGGTGGAGGTGGGGACCACATTGGCATCTTCTCCTTGGGTGTAATAGGACCTTGTATCCGCATTGTCTGTTAGCACAACAGTTTGTCCCAACCAGGAGAGGCATGTGAAATCTATAGAAAGGAATTCATAAAGTGAATATTTATTTATTATTTATTTCAGGTACTTGTATACACCGTCAATTTACACAGCGCTTTACATATATATTGTACAATCACATCAGTCCCTAACCCTCAAGGGGCGTACAATCTAAGGTCACTAACTTACATTCATACATACACATACTAGGGACAATTTAGACAGGAGACGATTCACCTACCAGCAGGTCTTTGGCGTGTGGGAGGAAACCAGAGTACCCGGAGGAAACCCACGCAGGCACAGGGAGAACATGCAAACTCCAGGCAGGTGGTGCTGTGGCTGGGATTCGAACCAACGACCCTAGTACTGCCAGGCGGAAGTGCTAATCGTTTAGCCACTATGCTGCCCCAGCCACTGAATATGATCATTACAAGTATTATCTCCATGCAGTTACCAGAATACACATATTATTTTTTCTTTTTCTTTTTTTTTTACTATGGTGACCTTCTAAGGCTGGCCATACATTATACAATTTTTTCTTGAGATTTTTGGTTTAGATTTACCAAAAACCGTATAATAGGAGGTCAAACCTATCAACACTTTCAATCGTACCCAGTTAGGCAGGCTCTTGCACTACATAGTTAAAGGTAAATCTAAATGAAATTGGGCAGAAATTGGACAGAAAATTGTATAGTGTATGGCCAGCCTAAGGCTCCGTTCACACCTATGCCGTTTTTGTTTTTTGTCTGTTTTTTTGCAGTGCTTTTCGCAGTTTGTTTTGCCGGGTTTTTTTCTACACACGTTTTTGATGCGTTTTTACCGCGTTTTGTGGGGGGTTTGTTTTGTTTTTGTTCTGTGTGGTTTTTTTGTTTTTTGTTTTTTTTTTAGTTGCAGGGCAGAATAAAAATGCAAAACACAAAACTTGGCAGATATGTACTACCATGCATTTCAGCAGCTTCTCCATTGAACTCTATTGTTGCAAAAACGTTGCTTTTTGCTTTTAAAACAAAGTCCCTGACTCTTTCCAAAAACGCAGCAGCTCAAAAATGCATAGATGTTAACATGTTCCATAGGAAGCCATGTTAAATGGACTGTAGTGTGTTTCTGCAAAAAACGCATTGGTGTGAACGGAGCCTTAGTGTAAGCGGGATTTACAGAAATATGGTGGTTTTTGTAAGTGCTGAAAAATATCTCTTTAAAGAAATCTTTTCCTTTTTATGTTCTCACAGAGAAGCCTTTTCATACATTTTACCAGACATTTGCTTCTGATCTCTTGAATTTGCCTTACGGCAGGTGTGCGGTTTTCCCGGCCGGTCTAAGGCTCTGTTGCTTGCCAAGATAAATAAGTGAGATCATCCAGCAGCTCAACCCCGACCTATGTAGAAGGCTTACTTGTGCTAAAATAAGAGTGTTTGGCTCACTCCTGAGTTTATACAAGGAAGTCTGAGGTTGGCGTTTAGTTGTTAACAGTCTACAACTTCTTGTAAGTTCTTCCCTTACTTATAACTAATCCATCATCTCTGCTCGTGTTTCAGAGCCCATAGATGTTTACAACGAAACTGAAAAGAATGAAACTAGATACTTGAACATGACAGTAGATCCAAGAGAAGGACACCATCAAAGACCTCATGGGAAGCCTCCACAGATGACAGAAGGAGTCCGGCCACCAGGAGGGATGAGGAACGGAGGGGATGGACTCAAGAACACGGTCTTCAAGACCACCAAGAGGGGGCCTCCCCGGCAAGTCCCACACCATTTTGACATCAATGAGCACTTACCTTGGATGATTGTACTGTTTTTGTTGCTCGTACTTGTGATCATTGTGGTTTGTAGCGTCAGGAAAAGCTCTCGTACCCTTAAAAAAGGACCAAAGCAGGATCCGAGTTCTATTGTGGAGAAAGCTGGCTTCAAGAAGACCACCGCCCTAACCCAGAACAGAGAGAAATGGATTTACTACTGTAATGGGCATGGTAAGTAGAAACCAGTAACAACTGTGCATGCTGAAACAGTGGAGGAAAATGACAACCAGTCTAATTGCTGCTGTTCTAAACTGCGTTTTTAGGAAAACTGGTTGCCATGGGCAAAAGAGACTTGTCATTTTGCTAGCCATATGTTACATTGCTAATGGAAGTAAGATGAGCTCCAGACGTAGTGTATATTTTAAGGAAACCCCATTCAGTCTAGTTATGTACAGGGGCGGACTGACAACTCATGGGGTCCCCGGGCAATAGGGGATCATGGGGCCCCTGTATCCTTGCCCAAACTCAAAAAAGCCTATGAAAAAGGTACCAGGGGCATCTACTGACCCCGGACCTCAATGGGGCCCCCTACTGACCTCGGGTCCAGTCGTTTCCAAATGGTCAATCCGCCCCTGGTTATGTATTAACCGCTTCAGTACCGGGCACTTTTAACCCCTTCCTGCCCAGGCCAATTTTCAGCTTTCAGTGCTGTCGCACTTTGAATAACAATTGCGCAGTCATGCAACACTGTACCCCAACTAAATTTTTATCATTTTGTTCACACAACTAGAGCTTTTCTTTGGTAGTAATTAATCACCGCTGGGTTTTAAACTTTTTGTTAAACGGAAAAAGAACGAAAATTTCGGAAACAACGTTTTTGCTTCTGTATATAAAATTTTGCAAATATATAAATAGTTCTTCACAAATTTAGGCCAAAATGTAAACCTGTAACATTTTCTTTGCTGAAAATAACCCAAATTATTGTATATTGTTTAGTCTGTAAAAAAGTTATAGAGACCGCAAACTATGGTATACAGTATATCTGAAGATCAATCAGTCCTGATGTACTGACTGCCTGTCTCCTTTCTTGAGGGCCAAAAATGTTGTTACAGTACAGTTCTCCCCCAAATTACTCCTTTTTGGAATGTAGACAGTCTGCTGTGTTTAGTAATAGGCATGGTGAGTTTTGTTTTTTTTTTTGACCCTTTTTTTTTATGTGTGGAAAATGACGTTATTTTAAAAAAAAAAAAAAACTTTTTGTTCCTTTTTTTTCTTCTTCTTCTTTCTTACTGTCACCAGTGCGATGCAGCATCATTGTATAACTGGTGTCTTGGTAATCAGGGACACTGACTGGTGACCGTGTGGAGGAAAAACACAAATTGTAATTTTTTTTTTTGTTTGTTTTTACTAAAACACTGTGGCCAAAGTAATATGTTACCATAGTAACATTGTACTACTTTGGGGAAGTGATCAGTATTTTTTTTTTTTTTATTGCCTATAGCAGTGAATTTCACTGTAAGAAAAGCATTTAACTGAATGAATGAAATTGATTCATTCAGTGTTTTTTTGGGGAGGTGATTATCTGTGATTGGCTACAGCTAATCGCATGACTCAGATGGGCCATGATTGCCCATTTTGTGACTTGTGATTACTGTGACCAATCACAACTAGCAACACAATTGTATACAATGAATGGCATGAAAGGAAGCCATCTGGCTGCTGCCAGACTCATTCACCTTACTAACCGCTCTATATCTGCCTCCCCCCTCTGCCAATCCCTCCACTGGCTTCCAGTTGCCCAACGGATAAAATTCAAAACACGAACACTGACGTATACAGCCATATATAACACTGCCCCTATTTACATCACTGACCTTGTCTCTAAATCCCACCCAAACCGTACTCTCCGCTCCTCGCAAGACCTCCTACTCTCTAGCTCCCTTGTCTCCTCCTCCCATGCTCGTCTCCAGGATTTCTCAAGGGCTTCACCCATCCTCTGGAACTCCCTACCCCAAGCTATCAGGCTATCGCCTACTCTGCTCACTTTTAGGCGCACTCTGAAAACCTATCTCTTCAGGGAAGCCTACCCCAACCCCAGCTAATACTGGAATCCCCTACTCCTACCAATCCATCCCCCACAGCTAATTATCTCTTGTACCACTATCCCCTCCCTCCTAGATTGTAAGCTCCAAGGAGCAGGGCCCTCTAATCCCTCTTGTATTGAATTGTATTGTTACTGTACTGTCTCCCTCCATAATGTAAAGCGCTGAGCAAACTGTCGGTGCTATATAAGGCCTGTATAATAATAATCTAATATTTCCAATTGTCAAGTGACCTGCTGTGATTGGTCACAGCGGTCACATGGTACCAGCAACAGGCCGGTACAACGGATCGAGCATCGGTTGTGTCCAATGGACACAGCTGGTGACAAATCTTGCTGCAGTACAGTGGTCATCCGGGAGGACATCATATGACATCCACCTGGATCAATGAATTATTGTTGCACTAAAACGGTATTGAAATGTGCTGTGGCAGTACATGGAGCAGTGGAATACAGAGCATAGTAGACCTTAGACTCTGTTCACACTTGTACGACTCCAAAGTTGCACTGGAAATTGTGTGACTTTACGCTTTCTGGCACGCAAGTCACATCAAAGCACTGCAGGAACCTTTTCAAAGTCGCTGGGACTTTAAGTTGCATTGATACAAAATGGGTGTCATTGAAAACAATGGGCTGTGACTAGTCATGCGATTGTGTCCAAAGTCACATGAAAAGTTGCACAAGTGTAAATGGAGCCTTAGCAACCTTAAGGCCACATTCACACCTGTGCCTAGGAATGGACTCTGTATGGATAGGACCACATCATGAATTTCTTGGGATATGCATGCTTTGCTGCCCCGGGGAAGTCCAAATGTACTGAGTGGAGAAAAACAAAGGCGCACCGGCCTAGTGCATTACCTTTAAAAAATGTTTTTAAAGCAGAGCTCCACCCTAAAGGGGATGTTCCACTTTAAGGACTGCTCCTCATTAAGGATTGGCACCTTTGGGGGGCGGGTACCCGAATTTGACAGGTACCCGCTCCCACTTCCAGGTCCGATTGCCTAGGCCAGGGGTCTGCAACCTTTAAGACATAAAGAGCCACTTGGACCCGTTTCCGAAGGGAAAAAAAAGACTGGGAGCCGCAAAACCATTGCAACATTTATAACAAATCCGACACTGCATATATTGCAAAAAGCACTCTGGTCATGAAGGGGGTTTAAGGGCCCAGTAAGCACCAAAAGGGTTAATCAGGGCCACAGTGTATCTTCATAATCACAATCATAGCCTTAGGTCAGTGGTGGGCAACCTTTTTTTTCAACTGAGCCAAATCTCGCCAAAACCACGATTGAAATTTATTTTGACAGCCACATTTTAAAACTGAAAATACATCCCCCATATAGTAATTCATCCCCCATAGTAATTCATCCCCCATAGTAATTCATCCCCCACATAGTAATTCATCCCCCACATAGTAATTCATCCCCCACATAGTAATTCATCCCCCATATAGTAATTCATCCCCCATATAGTAATTCATCCCCCATAGTAATTCATCCCCCATATAGTAATTCATCCCCCATATAGTAATTCATCCCCCACATAGTAATTCATCCCCCACATAGTAATTCATCCCCCATATAGTAATTCATCCCCCATATAGTAATTCATCCCCCATATAGTAATTCTTCCCCCATAGTAATTCATCCCCCACATAGTAATTCATCCCCCACATAGTAATTCATCCCCCACACAGTAATTCATCCCCCACATAGTAATTCATCCCCCATATTGTCTCAATTCACTTACCTTTGCTCCGCGCGTTCCTCCTCTCGCTGTGTTCCCGCGCCGTTCTGGTCTTCAGGGCGGACTGAGAGAGGAGTTCGTCACTCTGCCCCGCCTACATCCTGGCTGCCCCACCTACATCCTGACAGCCAATGTTCCACGCTCCGCGGGCTGGATTTTTGAGGAGGGAGGGGAGCGGGCGCCCGGCACACAGAGAGCCGCATGTGGCTCGCGATCTGCGGCTTGCCGACCACCTGGTGGGCAGTGTGCTCCGGAGCCGCAGCAAAGATGAAAAAGAGCCGCATGCGGCTCTGGAGCCGCGGGTTGCCGACACCCGGCCTAGGCGATCGGAAGCGGAAGGTGTCCTCCCTCCCTCCCTCCCTGTAGTCTTTTGGGACACGTGACAGGTCCCAGAAGACTACAGGACCATTCATGAAGCACAGCACTACTCGCGCATGCACAGTGGGTACCCGGGTGTGAGGCCGCAAGCTATCACAGCCGGGTGCCCACACTGAAGATACCGGCCTCCAGGAATACAGGACGGCCAGTGAAACAGGCTGCGGGGGACACACCACATGACCAAAGGAAAGGTAAGTGACTGTTTTTTTTTAAAAGTCAGCAGCTACAGTTTTTGTAGCTGCTGACTTTTTTATTTTTTGACAGCGTGAGTGGTACTCTGCTTTAATAAATAATAAAAGTAGGTATTGTACTCACAAAATGACAATACAGTCAAAGGCACATCATGAAAGAACCGCTCTGTCCAATCCGCACTATATCTCAGTCCGCAATGGGAACTATGGACCTCCAAAAGGCTAACGCGTTTCGAGGACTTGCCTCTTCCTCAGAGCCAGGCAACTAGAGATTCTTCCAGAACACCTCAGGATCCCTAAAACCTGGAGCACTCTATCATACGGATATTGAAAACCGCTCTCATAGTTGCGCTGTAGCCAGACACCTCCCTCATGTCATGTTTGCTAGGGGCTGTACGTAACCCCCTGGAGGTATTCCCGAGTGTAGCTCTTGGGGGAAAGTTTCAGCACCACAAGCAGTAACCCTGAGCTACACTCGGGAATACATTGCATCGTTGCTCCGGGATCTCTTCTGCACTTAGCTTGTCCTGCGCTCCCGCGATGTCCCTCCTGCAGTGTCCCCGGCAATGTCCTACAGCCGATGCCGGCATCCGTCTTCTGGGTTCCGTTCCCTGCGACGTCGGAACGTACGGGGGACAGAACGACGGGAATTTAAAAAAATGTCAAAAAGTGACATTCACTAAATACACTAAAATCACATAGTAAAACATTACTGTATGAAACCATTTCACATACATTTTGTCCCGAGTGCTTTGTCCTGTGCCCTGCCTGCATTTTTACTGTTCTTTCTGCCTGGAAACTGAGAATGTCCATGGCGTCCAAAAAGCGTCCCTTTAGGTCAAAATCTGTGTTAGACCAGCTAGAGAACAGCGATAGTAAATCAGAACCACATGCAGAATTGAGTGATAATGATTCGTGGGGAAATTTGTCATCAGACACTGAAAACGATTTTGCGACTTTGCTCAGTGATGTGCGAACTTGGCGCTATATTTCAAATTTCAGTGTTTTTGGTTTGATTATATTATTGAGTTAAATTTATTGTTATATTTTATTATTTTTTGATTATTTATTAAATTAGAATTTATGATTTCGTGTTTCAAATTTAACATACCCGGGATGTTTACTAGTTTCTTGTTCAGACAGATTTCAGTGAGTTATTCCTAAAAATGACAGGCCTACAATAAAAAAAACTACGTATTTCCATGCAAAAAATTGTACCGCTTTGAGCACAGAAATATGGACATAATCAGAACGCTAGGGAGGTTAATATATCCAGATGGTTCCACCACTTCTCCTTCGAAGGAGCACTCGGTACCTATTGAAAGCATCATCCAGAAAAAGTCACAATGAGAAGGTACACCATTTAGGCATAATGGGAAAACCCCAGGCAGACAAATCCAGGAGGATTTACAGCACATGGTGTCCTCTGCACTGAACCTAGTCAGGCACCTGTATGTATGAGAGGAAGAGGAATAATATATCACTTAAGGAGTGAAGAGACCGTCTGGAAGATTGGTGGAGTGACGTCATTGAAAGCTGTAGTGGTGGAACTTCCAGAGAGGAGGAGCGGTGGAACCCTCTAGGTCAGGGGTGTCAAACTGGCGGCCCTCCAGCTGTTACGAAACTACAAATCCCATCATGCCTGTTTGGCAACAGCTTGAGGGCCGCCTGTTTTGACACCTGTACTCTAGGTCGAGAGGAACAACCATGTGCATGGAGGAGTGGTGGAACCCTCTAGGTGGAGAGGAGGAACTTTGTGAGTGGGAGGAAGAGTGGAAGAGTGTTGGAACCCTCTTGGTGGAGAGGAAGAACCCTGTGGGTGGAAGAGTGGTGGAGAGAGAGAACCCTGCGGGTGGAGAGGAGGAACCTTGTGAGTGGAGGAGTGGTGGAACCCTCCAGACCTAACATTTTGAAAACCATTTTATCATTTTCCTTCCACTTCACAATTATGTGGCACTTTGTGTTGGTCTATCACATAAAACCCCCCAAAAAAAACATTTACGTTTTTGGTTGTAACATGACAAAATGTAGGTATGAATACTTTTTCAAGGCACTGTACTTGAATTTTGCATTTTTAGAGTAATTTTATTGTAGTGCTGTATTTATATTGATCTCCAAAAATGTAGTATATTGCAGCTTACCAATCATATGTGGTGACTGCATTAGTTTTTTCTTTTCTTTTTTTTTTTTTTTCCCCCCCTCTATTCACCTGGTGACCCGGCCAGTAATGCACATCCTGTATTATACAGACACCACTTTAGAGAAGTAAGCCCGGACACAGCAGACAGCAGCCTTCCCATTCTGGGGGGTGGCGTTAAGGGCCAGTTCACAGTATATGCAGTAACAGACGTTTACTGCTTGGTAAAATATCTGTCACCACAGACACACACAGGAATTCGGCCCACGGGCCTTGTTTTTGATACATGTGCCCTAGATGAAGTCAAGCTTTGCGTATTAGAAAATCCTGGCTTTTAGGACTCATTAGTCACAAGCTGTAGGTATCTGCTATTATATTTTACATGAATTGTACACCAGTACAGGTGGAGTACTGCTTTAACTGCCTCCTGAAATCTGCATCCGATCTGCAATCCAGTTCTGATTTATTTTTCAATTACTGAATGTAATTTTTATTGGAAGTTGCGTCTTAGTCGTCTCTGCGTTCTCCATCCTCTCTTCATGAGTCAGCTCCCCTCTGATACAATTTGTAGTGTAATATTAATTAGCCTGGTGTGATCACAGCAGACATCTCACTGTTTTATAATTAATATATACTAATGGAATTCCAGGAATTGCGGACATTATGACATCCATGTAGTATGAGTGTCAATTTAATGGGAAAATAACCGTCTGTGTGTAACACTGATAATGGTGAGTTTCCTACCCACACACTGCCTCTTCTGCCATTAAACTCTACAACAATGGAGATATCATTTTATATCTTTCATAACAAGGCTAAAGAAGATTTTGATTTGTTTTATGAATATTAATAAATATGGTGAAGTGTTATACAATAAATGTATATAGAATATAGACAATTTAAAAATAATACTCACAAAAAATGCTCTGATCCAATCAGGATCCAAACAATGACTATACAAGTGAAGACTAGTGAAAATACATGAGTATGCCTGTTTTAATACACTCAGTGAGTGACTCAATTTTTTTTATATAAAGCCAACCCCCCTGTCCCTAATGATGGGACTATTCCAAAATCAAGAAATATGGTGTAAAAGGTGAACCCCCTATCAGGGGAAAAAAAACACAATCAATTCTAGTGATTAGAGCCAACCATAATTCATTCCAAAAACATACCCACTTAAAAAAAAACAAACCACATATAAAAAATAACTCAAATGCAAATCAATCATAAATAATGTCCAATAAACAGAAAACATAGAGCCGTGATCTTCAAACACAATTCCTGCAGGTGAATCGGTGATCTCCACACTTGTGAAATATCCTCAAATAGCAGAAATGCCCCCTCACCTCCAAACCGTGACCACAAGGGCCAGCTTGCTTTATAGGATCACCCCACGATCCTTATGGATACTATCCCGTCACAGGGGAAGATGCCGCATAAGATCCCTTCAGCAATCCTCTCAGGTTCCCTCCAGGCACAGGTACCGCAATACAGCTCGCTCCCCTCTCAGGATCATATTTGTAAACAGGAAAGAGATCCTCCATGGTGCAGTAACGTTTATTAATCAATAAAACACATGAAAAAAGCCAATTGCCCACTCACATTTGCTCCATAGGTAAAAATCGTCTAAACCTCATGCTATGGGAGTGTACTGCATGGGTTTTGTTGGGTGTACCAAAATGGCGCCCACGCCCGGAAGTGCATCACCGGAAACTGCATACGAACGCATTGCGTCACGTTTCTTCATCAGGGTATCTTATGTGTTTTATGAAACTTCATTTTAAAACTAGATCTAAAATTAAAGTACTTGTAAACCCTTACATATAATCAGTGAAGTGACTGGCCTCAGGAGATACACGGAGATGAAACAAATCCTACATAAGTTGTACTTGTTTGCTTCTTTCCTACATCCATTCAAAGTCCAGAATGTATAAAGTGTCAGAGTTCAGGAAAAAAAAGGGGGGCGGAGAGCTGAAATTACACTCTGCAGAGCTCAGATAAGAGAGCTCTGAGAGCTGATTGGTGGGAATTGACACAGCCCCTTCACACAGCTCACAGGAACAGAGCTGAGGCTGTTAATTTGCTGTAGCTCCCTCCTCTGTCACTATTTTCCTCTTGGTGTCAGGTAAACTTGTCAGAAGTGATTCATGCTGATAAGAGGAACAGAGCAGCAGACAGAAAAGACACTTAGGGCTCATGTACACTGCAGCTGATAAACTCACGTTTAGGAGCTGTTCAGCATTTTTTTCAGCAGCCCCTGCGTTTTTTTTAAAGCAAAAAACTTGCGTTCAGCAGTCAATTTTATCAGCGTTTCAAATGCAAAATGCTTGTAAACGCGGAAAATCGCGTTTTTATAAGCGTTTTGCATTTTGAATTTTTTTTTTTTAACTCTTCCAGTTACCAATACTGTCCATAGCCTTTATTCATCATGAAAAATGCATGCAAAGCGTTTTCAAGGTACTCAGATGGACAAAACACTGAACACAGGATGTTCCTACCAAGCTTGTTGTAATGACCAAGTTTTTTCTTAGTTTTTGTTCTAAAGTTTTGTAAATAAGTGACTTTTCTCCTTCACTGATATGCGCTAATGAGGCTGCACTGATGAGGAGGCACTGGTAGGTGGCACTGATGGGCATTGACAGGCATCACTGACTGGCACTGTTAGGCGGCACTGCTGGCACTGTTAGGCGGCACTGACTGGCACTGTTGGGCGCCACTTATGCACACTGATAGGCGCCACTGATGCACACTGATAGGCAGCACTGATGGGTGACACTGAAAGGCAGCTCAGATGGCCACTGATATGTGGCATTGATGTGCACTGGTAGGCACTGTATGTGGCATT